CCCCACTCTGAAGTTCAGTGTCCTCATTGAACAGAGAAAAGAACTCGTCAATGACAACTTCCTCTTCATCTGAGAAGGTCTCTTCTTCAGTAATTATAGTGTTGCAGAACTCCTTAGGGTTAGCTTCTGGTTTTTCAGGAAGGTTTCTTTGAGGTTTGGGACCAGCTATGCCCTTGTTGTTCTCTAGTGTCTTTACTCTTGAAGCCAACCCATCAATCTTGTTTGACAGCTCCATATGAAGAGTATCCATTCTGTTGTAGACCTCAACAAACTTCTTTGTGATCTCCACATTATTAGCTTGTTGGCCTTGAAGAAGTTGTTGCAGCAGTCCTTTCACTTCAGCATCATTGGTGTTGGATGAGCTTGCTTGACCTTGAGAGAATCCAGGAGGAGTAAACTGCTTTTGCTGGAAGTTGCTTTGAAAGTTATTCCTTGGTGCATATCCTTGGTTGAATGGCGCAAAAAGCCTTGGCTGATTCCCAGCTGGTGATACTTCCTTGAGAAGAACTTTGCTAGAAACGCTCTCTTGCACTCATCGCAGCTGGTGATACTTCCTTGAGGCAAGTTTTTCTCCCATTGGTGGGCTTTGTCGCCAATAGAGAAAGGGAACAACCTGAGCTTGAAGCCATCTTCGCTTACCCCATTGATCTTGGTTAGTGAGCAGAGTCTATCAAAGTTATCCAAGTGATCCAAAGGGTCTTCAAGTGGCAAGCCATGGAACTTAATGCCCTGAACCATTGAGATCAATCCAGATTTGATCTCAAAGTTATTGTTTTGCACTGCTGGGGGAATGATCCCTGTGCGATGGTTGTAAGCGTTTGGGGTGTCACCAGCTCCAATTGGTCTGATTGGTCGTGCACCATGTGCTGGTCCTCTCTGACCTTGTTCACCTTGGACCCTTTGCTGTCCCTGAACACCAGCAACTCCTTGAGCACCTTGCGCTACTGGTGGTCCATGAAATCGCTGATCATCTATACCATGTTCCATGCTGAGCTGATGAAACCTTTGCAGTCTCTCTCTTTCCCTTGTTGCTCTCAATGCCCTTTCCACTTGCAGAATGTTGTGTTGATAATCCAGAAGGTTTTGATTGTCTTCAGACCTCAAGTTCATACACCTATAAGCAGAAGAGCAGCTTGCAAATCTGTAACAAACAGAAAAATAACAGCTTGATCTTAAACAATCCACAAATCCTAATGTTTAATCTAAACCCATATGGCAACGGCGCCAATTTGATAGCTTGTATTTGACTAGCTAAGCAAATCCAAACACACTCATGTCATTGCAGCATGTAAGGTATCAATCCATCTGAGTTCTTAACGCACCAAGAATACAGCAAATCATTTAAGTCAAGCTAGATTCAAGAAAGCAGTAGTGATCATACTAAACAAGTCTAAAGACTGAACTAAACAAAGCAGGAAATTCAAATAGATTAAGTAAGGATCTAAGATGGGGGTTATTGATTTAGAGGGGGTTAGAACCTAACTAGTGAAGCTTCAAAACCATTCAAACAATGCTATCTCCTAGGCATAGGATTAACAACTATAACTAGTTCAATTCCTTGACATTAATCAGTTTGCTAAGCACACATTTCAGGTAAATCCCTTTACTCAAATACATGATCAGCAAGCATTCAGAACAGCAATCCAATCAAATAAAGCCAAAATGCACCGTAGACATCTAATTCCTTAGGCCAAGCATACAAATCCGCTAAGAGACTCTAAGCAGCATTTCATCAAACACTTACCAGACGCAAGAGAAAGCCAATATACTAAACAATGCTGGCCAAGACTAATCTAGTGTTAAGCACATCTAATAGAGAGAAGACAATCATATAAAGCACAAGACATCACTAATCTAGTCCTAAAACCCCTCTAATATATCCCATCTCAAACCCTAAATAAGACTACTCACTACCCATAGTCAAAACCACAAATTCCAAAGAGAAACAATGGTTAAGCATGATTAGGAAGCAGAATAAACAAGAATAGATCAAAGACAAGTACAGAAATTCACTAAATCAAACTAGTTCTTACAAAGCAAAGCTGAAAAAGGAAAGGTTTTAAGTGCAAGAACAGAAGAAAGATAATAAGATCTAAGTTGCCTAACTATTTTAGGACTTTAGTATTTATAGGGGAACTAGAAAACCCCTAGTAAACCAAGATTAAACCGAAAACAAGCTGACTCGGACAGACCATATCGACTGTGAACATCGAAATACATGTCGATATCATCTCTTCTTCTGGGTTGTATCGATGTCCCTTGGTCGATACGCACGTCGATACAGAAGGCTCCTATGTTGTATCAGTTTGGCTCTCTATGGTGTGAAGTCGATACAATCGCCCTTTAGTTAAGGCTCATCGATCAAGCAAGTCGATATGGCACCTCGGTATTGTCCTGTCATGTGTATCGGTCTGAGACGTCGATACACTGCTCGATATGGACTCCCTTCTGTTGCATTGAGGTGTCTACTAGTCGATATGCTTCCTTCTCACTATGCCCTTACTGTATCGATGCTGAAGTGGTCAATACTCCCATCGATATACTCTGTATCGATCAGAGAATATCGATATCATCATCGATATTGGTCCATCCGCCTTTGTCTCTTGCCTTGCTCTATTCCCAGCTCACACCCATTGCACCACATGACCTCCACACTCCTTCTAGTACCTGAATAAAACTCCAAATGCATGGAAAATGCAATGCAGCTCCTAAAACTGAACTAACTCCTAAATGTATGCAAATGGGACAAGAAGAAGCAAAATATGCATGTTTAAAGACTAAAACTAGTGATGAATGCAAGCTAAAATAGTATAAATAATAGAGATATCAGTGCTCTTGGCCACAATTATGAACCCAAAAACATTTCAAGGTTTGTAATCTCAAACATATAATTACCATTGTTTTACTATTCTTTATGAAAATATGATGAATTCTGTAATAAATTAGATAATAAGATTTATTTAACTCTTGACACCATACATTAAATTGCATCATGTAGAAGTATTATTTTTGAACTCCGCTTAAAGAAGATATGGATTAAAACCCTGCTGATTTCATCATTTAATAGTATATTCAGATCTTAATAACTCAAGGTGTTAATATGATTACGTCTAAGCGGCTAGTAGAAATCAGCAGGTGATATGAAATCCTATTGTATTTTTAGATATGAAAACAAACTATTTTAAAGCTATTATGATATGGTGAGAAAATAAACATGTTTTTATTAAAAGCTTTTTTAGCTTTCAACATGTTATAAATTTATGTTTCAAAATAAAATAGTAATCATTATCAAAAGAGACAAATTAACAAAAGAAAAAGTCATATAAAAGAAAACTAACTTGGACTAAAGTTTTTGAAAATCACTATAAAAAAACTTAACTAAAATAAACAAGTGATGTTATAAGCTTTTGAAAACAGTCCTCCTAAGATTTAAATTCAACAGTTAGAGCATATCAAATCAGCATTATAACTAGAATTAAAATTAATATAAAACAACAAATTTAACAAAGAAAAAACATTTGTATAACCGAAATTAATGTGATGTCTATGATACCTATTTGGAAAATCAACAACAAAAGAGCTTAATAAAAAGTATATAAGTCCTAAATATATCAAAAATACAAAAAACTGTATAAATTAATATAAATAAAAAATTACTATCAAAAGATGTAAAATATCAAAAAAAAAATTAAAACAAAATTAATTTGAAATTAGTTTCAAAAAGTTCATAATTTTTAAAGTATTAGTATCAACAATGAAGAACTATCTAAAGTTGTAATAGGTTTAGATGATTTTCTAAACCAAACATATGTTTCTGATATAAAAACTAACAAAGAAAAACACTATATAAATAACTTTACAATCAATATTTCTATACATATTTAGGAAGTCACTACTTATATCTAAACCAACATCAATAACACGTTCTAAATTTTATTTAAATAATAAAGTATGACATAGTTATGAATCAAACTCAAATTGGTATATGTAGATAAAATATTCAAATCAAAACATGCATATTGCACACAAAAGATAAAAACAGTAAAAATAACGCAAAGACTCTATACCACCGATCCTACAAGTTAGAAAACTAAAATTATAAAATATTAGACTGTAAAAAATTAGATATCAGTGAAAATTAAATAAAAATATAAGCTAAAACTCTTAAAAGACATGGTGGAGAAAGAAGAAATGGTTTTGCATGATCATTGCAGCTTTCTAACAAAATTAAATGCGAATCAACATAAATCATGGATTATATATGCAGTGGTACACAACATCAATAAGACTTTCAATATAAAAAAACTACATATTTGAACACATAAACCTTAAAAAGAAGAACTATATAGATTCTCTGGTAAACATAAAAATACCAAAATCTTAGCAAGAAAATCTTTCTTAAAATTAAATGTATATGTACATCAAAGTTGAATAATTCGATTGTGTCATTGTTATTATTTTACCTAATAATTTTCAAAATTTTATAAATAAAAATATGAGAAAATTACAAATTATTTATTAAATTCTCTTATATAAAAAAAATTTCTATAAATATATTATAATTTTAATAATTTAAAAGATAGTAGCTAAAAAAGAATTAAATCCAACTATTAATACAGACTCTCGCCTAGCGCAAATTATATACCTAGTATAGATTATAAACTCATAAAAATAGATATAATTTTTAATAAAAATTAAAAAGTATAAAAAGATATAGTGATAATGTAAATCATTGTACACAGTTTTATAGTGATAATCGACTTCTGAATTTAATAGTTCGACTCCGATCCAAACTCTTACATTTCTGTAAAAAAAGTTGATGTTATTGCTGAATCTTTGAACTCTAAATGCTTAACAAAGCTAGATTTTTTGGGTCCAGATTTACATCAAAGTATACCATTGGTTTGTACGGAATATCGAGACCGTGGATATATAGACTGCCACGTATCACACACTTGCTTACCTCTAAAATTCTATGGACTGTTGTTGCTGTGATCAAAATGACGTGGACGACTACCTTACCGAATCCCTCATCGGCTTCACCACCACAGCCCGATCAATCAAACACCACAATCTCGCCGTTAAATTCTCACTTCATGGCGCTTTCTTGCCGTGACACACTCCGCCTTATCTTCAACAGGCTTACCGTCGTCGATCTGGCGCGTGCGAGCTGCGTTTGCCAAATTTGGAACTCTGTCGCCACAGAAGACGATCTGGTGGTATCGGCTTTCACGGCGCCATGGCGGATCAAGGAACTCGTAGGGAGACCGGGTTCTGGTTCGTTCTGGAGAGATAACGGGATCTGGAAATTCGCTCTCTCTCACCGGATTTCTCGTGGTGATAGTGTGACTAGCCTCGCCGTTAAGTACTCCGTTCAGGTAAAATTTACTTTTTTCGTCTTCTTCCTCCTTCAATTACGTGTTCTTTGCTTTTTTCCTCCCAGATGATTTACATTTTAGTTTGGAAAATTTGACTCAATTTTGTGTTCTCGTAATCCTTTGGAAATTTCATGTGATTTATTTGCTCTGCTACTGAATCGAATCTTCCTCCTTCATTAATTGATCCGGCAATGTTATCTCAATTTTGTGTTTTTGACAATCCTTTGGAATTTTCGTGTGATTTTCTGGAGTTTGGAAGTTGAGATTTAGCTGTTGAATCCACTCCACCGACGCTGAAACATTTTTGTTTCTAAATTTCACAATATTATCAGTAGTTTATTTTAACTTTGTTACAGTGGATTATTTTAAATTTGAGTGAGCAATAATGATATTGGATTGTGCAGAAAGAGAGTCGGAAACCTAAGAGTCTATGTAGATGAGTAGATCTAAAGTTTGTTTAGAGATACTCTCGAAGCTAAATGCTTCCTTCATCTATAAGGACCAAAAGTAGACGAAACATTTAGTTAAGATATACAAACTGTTGTTTGAAACTTCGTGTAATGATTTTCGAGAGATAAAGTAAGTTTTTCTTGGTTGATTAGTTTCTTTTTTTTTCATCTCTAACTCCTTTGTCGCTATCGGAAATGTGAGAGCTAACATTCCACGATGAAATTTCGGGTTCTGTTTCTTAGTATCTCGTGCTTTTTGTCTTGCTTAGGAGTATCACAGGGGGCGGGGACAGACTGTTTGTTTAGTAGCTAGATGTCATGTATCCATGAATTTTAGGCTCGATATGGATTAACTATATAATAAGCTTTATGCTCTCTGTTAAGCTTCCTCACATTTCATGTCCTTCTCTATAAGGTTTCTGAGATCACTAAGCTCCCTTATGTGAACTGTTGTTTTAATTTTCTATGGTTCTTTCACCATATGGTTTTTCCTTCTGATACATGCTCACTTTTTTTTATTTGTAGCTCTATTTCATTATGTCGTTTTTGTTATTTTATTCTCCGTTTAACGCAAACTAATTTCATAAGCTACACCTTTCTTAGGTTATGGACATAAAGCGATTAAACAACATGATGAGTGACCATGGTATTTACTCAAGAGACAGACTACTTATCCCGATAAGCAATCCGGAAATTCTCGCAAACACCACTTGCTACATAGAGGTAGACAAAGACGCTAAACGAGAAGTAGCCGTGCTGTACCTTGAAGGTGGACCGAAGAGAGAACAACCTGAATCTGGTATGAATCATCTGTCCACTTTATCAGCACTTGGAAAGCGAAGGTTAATTGATTCTCTGAGGAGAAGCATGCAAGTAGATGATGGAACCGCTCTATACTACTTGGCCATCGCTGAAGGAGATCCAAGATCCGCATTGTCCGAGTTCTCGGCTGATCTCATGTGGGAGAGACAGGCTGGTCTCAAGTAATCTTGGCAATTAAGCTCATGGATGGTTGATTCAAAGGTAAATGAGTGTTTATATTTATATGAAAAACGCCGCCAATCTTCGGGTCTGCTTAGTAATTGATAAGGCTAAGTTGTTCCTTTAGTTAAGCTTAATTGAACACGATATGAGAGTAGAACGCGAGTTAAATTGATTGTTATAGGTTAGATTTAATTTCAAGTTTCAGGTAAAAGAGTTATGAGGATGATTTCAGGCTCAGGACAAGGATGGCCAAAGTCAGACCAAGATTCATATATGTCTCCATTCTTGCAAAGTCTTATCTTCCTGTGTTTCTTGTTGTTCTTATGATAGTTTGGTGAAACATGCATTAATCCCTGTAGTGTATACATATTTATAGTATAATACTATACAGTACATAAAACACTGTAAGTATGATAAGCCATTTACGAATACTGTTTTTTACCAAATAATGAGAAATTTTATGTAAGATCTATCTTGAGCTATGGATTTAATTTATAGTTAGACTCAAAATAACTATTATTTAATCTGATGTGTTAGAAAAGACAGAAAAATTAATGTATTCTATTGACATCTAGAAATATAATATGTCAATAAATAAATGTTTTGATTAGTTAAATCAACTATATATTATTTGAGAAGTAACATTATTGAAAATAGCTGATTTGTTAACACTAAAGTCGAAGTTAGTGCTTTTAATTGATGACATGTCAAACTTTTTAAAATAAACGAAATGTTTTGATTGGTTGAATTAAAATTATAGAAATTAGGAGTTTTTTTTACGGAATCATATAAAAATCTTAAGCCTTGAAAATACAATTAGGAGTTGTATTGCATGTTTTGTGCATTTTAAGTACTTGGCAGGTGTAAATGAGGTGTTTAAAGACTATAAAGAGTTTTGGGAGTGATCAAGGAATGGAACCAAGGCGAGGAGGGCAATATCGAGCAGTATATCAGGATGCTTGGCCGATACAAGGCATATGTGGCAACACATCGACTAGAGGAGGCTGATACAAGAGTAAGCAACTGTACCGGATAGTGTATCGAGAGCTCCACATCGATACATGCGAGACATGACATATGTACCGAGCAACGTACCAGAGTGAACGAGCTGATGCAAAGTTCCAGCACTCGTACCGATCATCATACCAGGCAGTAAATCCCGATCTGCCTTAACTCTAGGCGAGTGTACAAAGCAACATATCGAGGAGTTCTGACTGATACACCTTCTTCAGGACACTTGTACTGACATGTGCATCAACCAGAAGCAAGCCGATACAAGAAGAGGATAGCATACCGAGGAATGTACTAGGTTGGCTAACCTGATGTGCCTTAAGAAGAGGCGACCATACCGAGCAGTGTATCGACCACCCATGGTCGATACAACCTTCAAGCGACCAATATCGACCAGTATATCGACCAAACAAGCCGATACACCCCCTCCGAATCATGTAATTTTCGGTTTACTCCTGGTTTACTAATGGTTTTGTAAAGACCTAATTTATTAGATCTATCTTTTATCTATTAGACAATAGCTTTCTCTCTAGCTTTTCTTCCTTGTAATCTTGAATTTCTGCTTTGAATCTTCTTAATTTAATCTAAGTTTGTGTTTATCTTCTCTCTTTTCATGATTAGCTATCTTCTTTTGATTAAGTCTATGGCTAAAATCATTTTTAGTGAGTGGTCTTGTTTGAGATTGAGATTGGATTGGTTGAGGAATTTTGATGCTTAATTAATGATTGCTTACTGTTAATTTTTAGATTTTTCTTCTTTATGATGATGTTAATGCTAGATTAACCCTTACTAACTTGATCTAGATCCTAAGGTTCACTTATGCCTGTGAAGTGTTTGTTGAATTGCTTGAATAAACCAAGTAAGAGATTTGCGTATCCTAGCGTAAGGAATTAAATGTCCAGAGAGTAGATTGACAATATAGAATTAGATTATTTTTTTGTAATGGATGAATTTTTTAGCAAAGTGATTAATACCAAAGGATTGGATTAGTTGTAGCTGTGAATTCTATATATTAGGAATAGCATTATTATGAGTTTGTAAGCATCATTAATTGACTTGAGAACATCCATTGATCAATGACCCCATCTTAAGTCCCTTTTGTCTTTTGTAGTGCCAAGTTTTGAAACTGCTTTTGTTCTTTAGTTTTGCTCTCTTTGCTTTTGCTTATTTGATGTTTTAATCAATTGATAAGGTTCTAGGTTCTACTATATTATCTTGTTGGCTTGAATTGAGTGAACTATTGCACTCCTATTGTCTTGATCATCCCTGATTGGATTGATATCTCAAATGCTATAATGACTTGAGTGTGGATTTGGGTAATTGAAGTAACATAAACTCCTGCATCAATTTGGCGCCGTTACCATTTAGGGTTTAAGTTGAGCATTATGATTTGTAAATTCTTTGAGATCAAGCTTTTAGTTTTCGTTTTTGGTTACTAATTACTCTCTTTGGTCTAGAATCTCTTTTGTAAGTACCAAACACTTGCTCTTAAATGTCTACAACTACACCAGAAGTTAAAGGTCAAGGATTTTGGATACACGGCAATACACATCAGGTGTTGAAGCATGGAAGAACCTCCATATGGGCTTTGGTCTGCAAGGTCTACAAGGTCCTCAAGGTCCACAAGATCCTCAAGATCCACAAGGGATCCAAGGCTTACAAGGACATCAAGGTCCACATGGTTTACAAGGTGCTTGGGGTATGAGAGACCAAAGGCAACAAAGACCTATAGGAGCTGGTGATTTTCCAACATCCTTTACTTCAAGACATGACATTCTCCCTCCTATGGAGAACAATAGCTATGAGGTTAAAAGTGAGATGATTGCCATGGTACAAGGCAACAAATTTTTTGGGCTGCCAAATGAACATCCTCTTGATCACCTTGATAACTTTGGGAGAGTTTACTCTATGGCTAAGATGAAAGGAATATCTGATGAAGGTCTAAAGCTAAGGCTCTTACCTTTCTCACTTGGTGATAGAGCTCAATTGTGAAAAAAGAGTTTGCAACAAGGAAGCATCACAACATGGGAGCAATGCAAATGTGCTTTTCTCACTAAGTTCTTCTCTCCCTCTAGGACAGCTAGATTCAGAAATGATATCTACAACTTCAGCCACTGGCCCAATGAAAGCTTTGGAGATACATGGAAAATATTCAAGAGCTTCAAAGTCCAATGCCCACATCATGGCTTGACAAAGGAGGCGTGATACAAGAGTTTTGACTCTCTTGGTCAATCACCCATTTTACTAATTAGTTGTAGTATATGGGTTTTATTGTCAATCCAAAGGGGAGAAAGCAGGATTATAGCAGATTTCCAAATTCAAGCAGATATAAAGAGAGTTTTAGATGTATACCAACCTAAATGATCAAACAGAAGTGAAGCAAACATCAAACAAGGAGTGAACAGCAAGCAAAGCAACTAAAATAAAGGCAAAACAGAGCAAATTCGAATTCAACTAAAAACAGAGAAAAGATGGGACTTGAGATGAGATAATTGGTGCTAGGGAACTCTTAACTCAATCTATGATGCCTACGAACTCACACAATTCTATTCCTTATGCATATGATTCATTTATATGATTAATCCGATCTCTTGGCACTAATCTCTTTGCTAATCATCAAGTCAAAAACTAATTCTCATTAGTGAAATGACAAGCAGCAAGCATTAAGACAATTCTATCAATCCTATATTGCCAAATCACTCCCTAGACAATCAATCTCTTGAGCTAGGATAAGCAATTCTCTTGCAATACAGTTCAGACATTTCATCAAAACTTGGTGGGCATAAAATGAGCCTAAGATCCTAATCAACCTAGTTAGGGCTAATCAAGCATTAAACACAGCAATCAAGAAAGGAAATTGAATAATTAACTCTAAGCAATCATAGATTAAGCTTAAAGTTCCCTAAACCTAACCCATCTCAATTCCCTAAAAAGACTACTCACTAAGCACCATTAAAATTATCAATTCAAAGAGAGAAAGGTGACTTATCATGGTTAGAGAGATTAAACAAGAAAATAAATGCAAACTCTTATTAAAATCAAGCAAAGATTTAAATTACAAAATCAAAAAGCTGAAACAAAGAAGAAAGAACTGCTGGATAAAAGACTGTTCCCAAAAATTAGGGATTTTTCGTATTGATAAGAGTTTGGGTGAAAATGGCAAAATTGTAAATAAGTGGTCTTCAGTCTGTACTCCTATCGGTCACTCCTTGACCGATATCCTGATCGATAGGCTAGCTATCTGTCTTGAAGATGACCGATATGGTGACCGGAATACGTATATCGGTCACGAGGAGTGACCGATAGCTTGATCGATAGCTCTCTATCGGTCACTCCTTGACCGATAGCATTTGTGCCTTGACCGATAGGGCTTCCAGAAAACGTCTGCCTCGGCTCCTCTTGCTCCACCTTAGCTTAGCTAGCCTCTTGGTTCATTCCCATAGCTCCTCTTTACTCCTCATAGCTCCATAAGCACCTAAAAACATACTTGATGCAAAGAAAATACAAACTACATCCTAAATGCAATCTAAATCTAAAAGGAGAAGAAAATGGGACTAAAGAGAAAGAAAACATGAAAAAGGGAGCTCAAAAACTAAAGATGTCAATGGAAAAACTGATTCAATGCCCAAGTTATAGGTTCTAAGATGCATGGAGATTGTTCTACTTTAAAAACTTTAGCCATACCTATCATAGCAAACAATGAATTCTAGCTTAGCCTACATAAGCATTCAAATCAACCAACTCTTTAACATTCATTAATTAGTAACCAATGGATCATGCTTGTGCAAATCAAGAGAGTACATTTGGTCAAGGGACAGGGTTATGAGATGAAAATTATCTCATTCAAGTATAAGGTTCATAAATATAAGGGATCACTCAATGAAATTGATTCTATCTTAGGCAAAATGCTACAGGTAAAAGCACATTAATGCATGCAAATCAAAGCTCCCTTCTATCCTTTTGCCCAAAGATGAATCCTATAAACTTATAAA